ATATATATATATTGAAAATGAGTCTGTCAAATAACTTAATAGATTGCATTTCCTCATGAGACATGTACCCTCAGTGGAGAGGCTGCCTATTATTATTTTTACTTTTAGCCATTGTGTGCATGTGCGTGCGTGTGCGTGTGCGTGTGCGTGTGCGTGTGTGTGTGTGTGTGTGTGTGTGTGTCCCCTTCAGGCTTGGTGGCCAGAGCCTTCATATGCTGAGCCATCTCCTCACTGCCCCAGAGTTTGTTTGTTTATTTTTCCCCTTCCATGGCCGCCTATGTCTTATTTCCTATTTGGAAATGAGAATGGTTCATAATCTGACCTAAGTTACTTGCTTTTTATTGTTCTGACTATAAGGAAAGAAACTTGTTAAAAAGTAAGGGCAAAAAGAAGTCAAGGGAATGTATAAAACTTCCTAGAAGAAAAGGGAAGATTTGGGGAAGTGTAAACTCATTTCCAATTAGACCCTGTGGCTTCCTGCTAGGGAAGACTTACATGTGGGCTGCTTTCCTACTGTGGGCTCATCTAGATCAAGCCTGCCCTTTGCCAACTTGGATAGGGCATCCAGTGCTGTGTTAGGGGAATCTAAGTGGAATTACGAAGTTTAGGTTACGCGGGCCTCGCCATGCCTGCAGGGCCTCGGCCGCATGTTTGGCCATGGGAGTTGCGTCTTGTGCACTGGTGACCTGTGACCAAGTTGACCCAGCCCTGGTGCTTCGTGTCTGAGTGCACTCACTGTTGGCACACACCTGCCCCTGGCCTCTGCTGCTCACCGGGTTTTAGGGTATTCATATGTGAACCATAATGCCGTGTTTCTGCTCTTCCTCCAGTCCCCATATACGTGCCGTTTCTCATCGTCGGCTCTGTGTTTGTGGCCTTCATCATCCTGGGGTCCCTCGTAGCCGCGTGCTGTTGCAGATGTCTGCGGCCCAAGCAGGATCCACAGCAGAGCAGAGCCCCAGCGGGCAACCGCCTGATGGAGACCATCCCCATGATCCCCAGTGCCAGCACTTCCCGGGGGTCATCGTCCCGGCAGTCCAGCACAGCTGCCAGCTCCAGCTCCAGTGCCAACTCGGGGGCCCGGGCTCCCCCAACAAGGTCACAGACCAACTGCTGCTTGCCCGAGGGAACCATGAACAACGTGTACGTCAACATGCCCACAAATTTCTCTGTACTTAACTGTCAGCAGGCCACCCAGATCGTACCCCATCAAGGGCAGTACCTGCACACTCCGTATGTGGGGTATGCAGTCCAACATGACTCTGTGCCCATGACGCCAGTGCCCCCATTCATGGATGGCCTGCAGCCCGGCTACAGACAAGTCCAGCCCTCCTTTGCCCACAATAACAGTGAACAGAAGATGTACCCTGCCGTGACTGTATAGCTTGCAGGTCACCAAGTAGACTCCTTTATGAGCAAAACAAGGGCCAGACTCTTGTGCCGGAAGTGTGCTCAAGTTGGTTTTCATCGATGTTCTCCTGGATGACTTCATTTGCCTCTAACTTGTAAGGGGATGTCTCCAGAACAGCGTTTCTGTGCGTGTTTCCTGATTCAGAATGGAGAAACACAGGCCCTGGAGTCGCCACCTGTGTCCTCAAGTATGTGACAAATGCTTGAGCCCCTAAGTGCCCTTGAGGTGTGGCTGCCAGAGTCAGAGGTTGCATGATGTCATTATTTCTGTTTGTCTCAGCTGCACAGGAGAACACCTGTTACCTCCCCTTTGCCTGGGCTGTTTTTTAAATCAGTGTTCAAGACTGAAAGGAGATGTAAATCATATAATTATTATGAAAAGAAGCCGGACACCAGTCAACGGCCTCAGTCCTCCAGAGGCATGTCTTAATTTCATTGTAAAAGATATAGTTTGTCTATTTTTATGCTTTGGGGGGAGGGGAGGCTATTTTGTGCTTTTTTTTTTTTTGATAACCGTGTGTCGAGATCTTATTATGAAGTGATTTTCTATGTTAAAGAGATGAAAAGAAAATGTACCTATCTAAAGAAGACATTCGTTGGGAATTCTAGGAGTGGAGGGGCATATGAGACCATTCGCCCCTTTTCAACGGAGCCTTTTTATTTCCTGGCTCTACAGTGGCACCTGAGAAGTAATTTGATGCTTTTTTTTTTTTTTTATTGAAATCATGAGCTATTACCTGCTTTGCTCCAAGTTACTTCTAACTTTGCCACTTGATGTGGCCTGGGGCTTCCTTTTGGTCTGCTCGGTTTGGATTTCCTTGTCCAAATAATACCAAGAGCAGGGAATTCGATGTGTGGATGAAGATCAGTAAAAAATGCAAAGAAAGGTACACAGCCATCATGAGGACCTCAGACATGAACCACTTTGCGAATCAGAAGGCTTTTTTATACTCTTGTTATCAGAATGGTCTATTTTTCCAGCAGCAGGAGGAGCTCTGGAATCCAGAGAAAAGTTCTCCAAGGAGACATGACTCTTGGGTCTCTTCTCCCAGTCTTCATCAAACTCTGCAACCTCTGTCGACATTTTAAGTTATCAAATTCAAGTGAATTTGTACGTTGATTACTTATGAAAAAAGTTTAAATATGTAAAAGTAAATTTTCAACTGCTAGCAAAGCCAAATTTTGTTAAATAACTGTGACGTTTGGTCTTTTATATATTCTACCCATAGCATCTTTCATCTAGTCTTCTGGTCATCTGTCCATCATCTCATGATGTTAGTAACAATGTTACATTATTGTTGGCAACTGGTATCAACAGAGATAGGAATCAAAGATTTTTAATAACCAAAGCAGGAGAAAATCATTTTAAATTTTTAATAAATATTTTATGGTGTGAGTTCCTGTGGGAGTGTTTTCTTTATAATTAGTCATTGTTCATAGAACAGGTACTCAGAATCCTAACTACTGCTTCTGGAACCATGAGTTTTACTTAAGCAGTAGCTGGTATCTAGGAAATTTGTATTTGTGGCAAACCTTGACACACAAAAGACGGTTCTTCTCTGGGCTCTCCTGTCATCATGTTAATGCAAAGTTTAGGGACTGGTCCTCTGTAACAACATCTCAGAAACAGCCGCGGCTGGCGCTTCCCAAGTGCTTGAGCCAGGAGAAGCAATAAGGCCTTATGTACACACTTAGTTAGTATCACATCTATTTAGTGTGTATGTGTGTGTGTGCAAGGGAGGGGGTACATGTGTACAGTGGCACACCTGTAGAAAGCTGGAAGACAATTATGGAAGCCAGTTCTCTGCTTCCATCATGTGGATCCCAAGGACCAGACACAGGTCATTGTCAGCCATGACAGCAAGCACCTTTACCTACTGAGCATCTCGCCAGCCCCAGACCTGGTTTATGAATACTGAGATCTGAGTTCCATGGAATTCCAGTGTCAGCAAATGGTTTCATCCCACCCCCTTCACTGCAGCCATCTCAAAGAGTAAAACCCAGTCTAGATGCTCTCGCTACAAAGCCAGGCCTAAGCCGGTTTTGCCCAGTGAGCTGTGTAGGTGGCCGACGCCAGGACTTAGCTTGATGCAGGGTAACCTCTACATGAAACAGGATGGTAAGTGCTTGCTCATATGAGATGTCTGAGTCTCTTCCCTTTTCTGGGTGGGGAAAAAGTAAGTTTTAGTCAATGAAACGAGAGTTTTTGCCCAAAGAAGCCACCTAGCCTTTCCAAAGATGACGTCACCAGAAGCAATTGCTGAGCTTTTGAATTTTGGGAGGAGCTGGAGAGAGAGCTAGCTAGCAGGGTGGAAGTACAAATACCTAGTTCCAGTACGCCTTTCTTGCTCTCTTGGGAATATAAAAATTCTGAACCTCTATGATGTAATTTGCGTTGGGTTTGAAACGTTTTACAGTCTGTCTAAAAGGGGGATCATTTGATGATGGAAAAATAGTCACCCATTTTCTACTGTGTATAAGCCAGGAGCTTTCCTCTAGATTTTAGGAGAGAAAAAGCAGATCTTTGCGAGGAAGAAGAAGCTAACCAGCTCGTCTATTGAAAAGTGTGGGCCTAGCATGGTGGCTCAGGCTTGGAATCTCAGCACTTGGGAGGCAGTGGCAGGGACTGCAGTGAGTTCAAAATCAACCCGGTTCAGAGTGAGATGGCTATAAACAAGTGTGAGCTGGGCATGGTGGCTTGTCACTGTGATCCCAGCACTTAGGGTCTACGGCAGGACAGTTTGAGGCTCCCATTGGAGTAAACAGTGAAATGTCTCAGAAGGTAAGTAGAAACTCCACATCTTCCATTTCTACTGCAAGGGACAGTTAAAACGTGTCACTATCAGGCTGGGATGTAGCTTAATACTTCACTTGCCCACTGTGTGGGAGGCCCCAAGTTTCATCCCCAGCATCAAAAATTAATGACATCAGCATCCAGGGTAGTCAGCCCTCCATGATGAATGTGATTCACAGGTTTATTCTGCAGCATGTGCCTGCTTTTTACCCTTCTGTTTCTGGACAAGTTCCCACAGGTAACTTCTCATGCTTTTAAGATTGTAGAGTTTCTATTTCCTGGGTTCAGTGACCCATATGGTCCTTGTTTTGTTATAAACTAGGATCTGTGATTCCCTCGGAACAAATGGCGATCAAGCTGGACTGTGGGAGGGAGACTGAATGGTGCTCAGAGCTGAGGCCAGGAGGGCTTTGGAGCTTGATGCTGTCTCTCCTCAGGCAACCCCACCTTGAACCAGCGCAGTGACCTTTCTTACGGTGCCAAGCCCCCAGCACGCACATGCAAGGAGATTCCTTGAAGTGGTTCAGCCAACTGATAAACGGCACACACGCTCGTTTTCAGTTGCTTGAGCCTCCCAGATGCCAAGGAATAAAGTTAATGGACTTTGGAACTGTGACTCCTGTTAACTTAGCCTGGTCAGTCAGAATGGCATTCCTGGAGTATGTGTGCTTTACTACGATACCCGGGGCAGACCTCTGTGTGTGGCGTTAGAATCAGATCCTGCTGGAATCTGGAAGGAAAGTGACCATGGGCAGAGAAATCAGACTGCCCTGTTGGTCATTTGGGCAAAAAGCAAGTCTCCAAGCATGGGCTACCTTACAGGACTTCACTGAATTACTACTGAATCAATAATGCGTCTGTATTAATGGCTCCTCAAGCTTTCTGGAAGTTAAAAAAAAAAAAATCTGGTCACTTCCTGCTTAGGCTTATTCCACTTGCTTTTTGAGTAATAGAACAAAGCTGCCCGGAGTGGTGTGGGTAAAGGTCTTGAGCAGAAGGCTCAATGTGTGCGGTGGGCTTGGGCAGTTTTAGATACTTAAACATATTAGGCACCCAGAGGGAGTCTCCGGGGCATGCTAGAGAAAGAACTGGGGGGCAGAGAGGACTGGACAAGGCCACAGCGGGAGAGCTTGGTACTGGACTTTCGCAGAGCTGCTTTCCCATGCTTAAAAGGGCAGGCCAGGAGCACAAGGAGGGTGGGGAAAAGTCCAGAAGCCACGTGTCCAGAAGACTGATGACAGCATGGGCAGGAACCTTCCTGAGTGCCCAGTGCTATGCCAGCGACACTGTCCCCTCCCCTCTCCCCCTGCAGCCTCTACACACATCAGTCAGCACGTCTTTGCTTTCTCAAAACTTTTCTTCGTTAGTTAAGACGCACGGATATTCCTTTGAGTTGAGCGCCTTCCAGGGATTAAGAATTGGAAACTATGGATTCTCTTCCCGACAACTGTGGCAATGACTCCCTGACTGTTTGGGGGCCCCAATTTGCTGCCTTCTTTCTGGTCTGCTCTTCTGTGTAGGACCAGTGATCAGTGGGAACCGGAAGAAAAATCCCTAGGAAAACCCTCAAGTTACTCATGTTAAAGACGTTGGGTGTAAAACCTCCATACTGTGAAAGAATGATTTGAGTGTTTGAGACGAGGTCTTCCATGTAGCTCAGGCTGGCCTGGACCTCAAACTTCTGGCAGTCCTCTTACTTCCTCAGCTTCCCATGTGCAGGGATTACATTACAGGGATTATACCAGTTCCAGCTGTAACATTGGCTATGAAAGTAATTTTATTTCCTACAGCTGCATCTTCCAAATGTCTTCAACATTTACACCCAGAGCTAAGGGACCTAGACTCAAATCATAAATGTCCAGAGCAAGAAATTAAAAACTAATGCTCTAAAAAAAACCTTCTTCATGAAAGTGCTGTAGCATTTTAAGACTGACTTTAAACATAACACATACGTCTCGAAGTGCAGGCCATTTAGAAAAATCATACCTTAATGGCATAGTTTTGATTCAAGAGACTGAACAACCATAAGCCACTGTCTGTCATCTGTAACTACAATATGAAATTGCTATGTGCATATGCATGTGTGCAGACTCACTCCAAGAGATTCCAAGCACAGTGGACTGCTTATACTCGGGTGGCTCACGCCAGACTCTGCAGTGCTTAGCTTACTTGGACCCTCTCAAGATCAGGCAAAACTGATTTAGAATCATTTCTACTGCATGCCCAGTGCCTCTGATGAGAGCCTAGTCTCTCTGAACCCAAGGATTGTAATTCTCACCTCTGGGTGACAAAAGAATATCTCATAGCATGCACCAGCTGCACCCATACACACACAGCCCAGCTCCTATTTAGATATGTTTTTATCTGTTCAATATGGAAAAATACATATATTTATGTAAACAAATACACCAGAGAAAGAACCCTAGAAGTAACAGGGCAAGGTTCTTTTTTTTTTTTTTTCCACTAGCCAATCAATAATGTTACATTTTGTCTGGGTTAACCTAAATGTCTTGTTTTTCAGCTCTCTGTCCCTTGGTCAGTACTTTCTCTGTGATACGCCTGGTGGGCCAGTCTTGTTTCTTTACACTATGGTTTTATAACCCACAGGGGTTCTCTCATCCCTGGGTCTCTCTCTAGCATGGCTGGTCATCTGAAGCCTTCTCTTGAATGGATCTAGATTCAGGAAATCATACAGTAAGAACCAGGCTGGGGCTGAATGCTGGAACCTTTGACTGAAATGCAGTTGTGTTCCAGCACACACACACACACACACACACACACACACACACACACACACACACACACGCACACACACACACCATACCACATGTCCTCTCCCCAATTACTTTACACTTTGAAACATTTAATTTTATCATTAATTTAAATTTTGATTGACAGTGAATCACTTCATTTAACTTTCCTATCGAGTTAATTACATTCACACACAACAAGCACAAAATTTTAACCTCAACAAACCATCACCTAGGTAAATGAGTTCTCTTCCTCAGGACATGAGCTGTGCCTGAAATTGAGCCTCATATATATGAAATTACACAGTGTGAAATCTTTTGTTTTGTTTTGTTTTTCGAGACAGGGTTTCTGTGTACCCTGGCTGTCCTAGGACTCACTCTGTAGACCAGGCTGGCCTCGAACTCACAGAGATACACCTGCCTTTGCCTCCTGAGGGCTGGGATTAAAGGTATGCACCACCACTGCCCAGCAGCACGGAATCTTTTGTCTGTTTTTCCTTCCACATTATGACTACTATTGGATAGAGCAATGGTTTGTGTCTTTTAATTGTGGTGTGGTATTCCATTGTAGAACTCCTGCCTAATTATCTATATTACTGTTAATGGACATCTGAGATATTTTCCATTTTATGTGTTCAGGAACAGTTTAAACTGCCTCTAGGAGAACATGGTATTTAGCTCCCACAGATGGGATTCCAGGGCCTGGATTGTCATATCTCAGGATGCTTGTTTAGAGTTTAGCAGCTGGCCACTTCTGACATTTAGGGCCTTTGGGGAAGCAACAGTTACAATTTGAACAGCAGATGAAGATGAGTGTGTGTGTGTGTGTGTGTGTGTGTGTGTGTGTGTGTGTGTGTGTGTGTGTGTGGCTTTGGTGCTGGAGATGGAACCCAGAGCCTCCCTGATGCAAAGTAAGTGTTCTACCACCGAGCCACATTCTGGCCCAGGCAGAAAGACTTTTGTTTTGTTTTTTGTTTTTTGAGACAGGGTTTCTCTGTGTAACAGCCCTGGGTGTCCTGGAACTCACTCTGTAGCCCAGGCTGGCCTCGAACTCACAGAGATCTGCCTCCTCTGCCTCCCAAGTGCTGGGATTAAAGGTGTTCGCCCAGTGCCAGAAAGGCTTTTAACCACAGAAAGCAGTGCATAAAGAAACACTTTTGGAAAGTTGGGGGGGGGGAATCAAAAACATATTTTTCTGCAAATAATTTAGAATAGTTCAAATCAAAACATATTTTTTAAGATGTAGATGGGAAGAATACGAGCCTTATTCAACCCTGTGAACAACTCTATAACAATGTTACAGAAACTGTTGGGGGAAGGCCATTAAGACCCGGGGTTCTACAGGAGATGGTGGCTGTCTGGTCAGTCCAGCGTGGCACCTTCACTTTAAACGAATGCCACTCTGGACTACCAAGTCCAGGGCACTTAACTGCAGCTGATAATGAAGGTTTCAGGTCAGTCTTCAAGAATTTTAAATAATTTTAGTTATGTGTATGTAAATAACCAAGAGCTGGCCCAAGTGGGTTTGGTGTAGCTGGAATTAAAAGGGAAGGGTTTCAGCCTCTTTAGCCTCTGTTGATAATGCTGATGGTGATGGCTAGTGCTGTCAACCTGACAGGTCCCAAAATCACCTGGGAAGAGTCTCGATGAGGGATTTTCTACACTAGGTTGGACTGTGGGTGTGTCTGTGAGGGATTGTCTTGGTTAAGTCAACTGACGGAGGAACCAGTCCACTGTGGGTGGGGCCATTCCTTAGGTCCTGAACTGTGTGGAGCAGAAATCCCGCCGAGCACAAATAAGCTGGTACGCACTTACTTACTTCTCTCTGTTCCTGACTGTGGATGTGATGTGACTGGATACTTGAAGTGCTCGCCTTGCCTTCCCCACAGCGATGGACTAAGAACCGGAACTGTAGCTGAAATAAACCCGGTTCCCCTTACGTTGCTTTTGGTCAGGCTGTCTTGTCACAGTCACAGAAACGAAACCAGAACACTGACTGAGCATCCCTTATTAGAAACACCTGCCACCAGCAGTGTCCTAGAAGGAGCTTTGCAGCACCCTTTTAAAATACTGTTGTAAATGAAATAAAGTTCCAGAGCGTGCATTTTATTTCCACTGGTGGCATCACATCAGGTTTTTAAAGTTTTGGGTTTGGATGCCGGGGCCATAGATGAGCAGTAGAATGCTTGCCTAGCGTGTGGGGTCTCTGCATTTGACTCCTAGCCCTGTGAACCGGAGGGAAAAGGGAAAGGACAATAATGGCAGGCAGCGTAGAGGAGGACCTTTGGGTTTTCAGAATAGATTTGTGGAACATAGACCTGTGAAATAACACCGCCAGGCTGGGGTGTGGCTCGGCGGCAGAGCAACTGCCTAGAAGGCCCAGGGCCTTGGGTTTAATCCCTACATCGGAGGGAGAGGGGAAAATGCCCGTGTTGTGAGTTGATGCTGTTCCTGACGGAGTGTGAACATCTCCCTCCGGGTTTACAGGAATCTGCAGATGAACTGGGAGGGAGGGAGGACTCTTCTAGATCCACTTCTTTCCTTTGACTGACTCATCAAAACCTGGGGCGGCCTTTTCTCGTGTAGAGGCCTGGGTGCCGTAACCTCTTACGGGGACAAAAGCACATTCCAAAATAAAACACAGTCCAGTCTTCTGCTTTAACCAAAGGTTTATTTGAAATGGGTTTGTGCAGACATACGCCGGTTAACAGGATTGGTCAAAGCCTAACAATAAAACCAATGTACAAGGAGACATCGTTGGCATGGATTCCCTTCTGGGAGGGAGACTGACCTCAGACCACCACACGGCTGTCATCTAATAACCAGCCGACATTAACAGCACTGAAAATCATTACACTTCCAGAGAGAGGGGACGAAAACTTGCACACATCACGGATGCGCTCACTTATCTGCTGGGAGACAGTCTAACATGACCTCCAGCCAGCTTCCCTCTGCATGGCTAGGTGAAGGGCCTGTCCTTGGTAAATAGTATTTGAGCAATCTCAGAACAGATCTAACAGGAGCCAGGGGGCACATGGGGCTTTGCTGACAGGAGAGACACACCTTGCCCATAGGCTCAGGAGGATGCGGTTCTCTACCCTGTGGCTGACCCTTGCTGTGCAAGCTGCATTGCTCTGGGAAGGAGGTGCAGAGGGAGGAGCCCCGGTACTGGTCATCCACAAGGAGGGAGAGGGAGGGAGCGGGAGGCTCAGGCTTTACATAGATTTTATGACTGGAACACCCGACAAGTCTTTACCAGCACGGGGACCTTGTCTGTAATTGCCATGGGATAATTGTACATAGTTATGGGCTATGCTGCCGGGATCTTGCTGGAAGGGGAGAAACTCCATGACCAGGCAGGTTTCCTTTTTTTTTTTTTTTTTTAAATTGGTGTCTGCTGCTTGCCCTGTAAGCACATACCAAGCTACCTCTAGGAACACAGCTGGATCCAGTCCAATTCCACGGCAAGTGGGTCACCGCCAGCTCTTTAGCCCCCCCCCCCCACTTTTTCCCACACAGGAAATCAGAAACTCTCCCTTCCCTGCACAAACCTTTTATTTATCTTATTTATCTTATTTTATAGGACCTTGCTTGTGGCCCAGGCTGGCCTCCAACTCTTGATTCGCCTGCCTCAGGCTCCAGAGTGCTGGGATCACAGGCACGTACCACCAGGAAGAGCTCCTGGCTTTTGATAAGCCCTCCTGACCTCTGCTTTCCAGGGCAGGATGGTTTGGGTAGTGATGCTGTTTCAACGTTTTTTTTTTCTTCCCATCTCTGCCACAAATCACAGCCACCTGACACTTTGTTCCTGATTTCTCCAACAAACAGGTCCCCTTCCTCTCTTCCTAGCCAGGTCAGGAGAAATGCCTGGGGGCTATTCCCCCGTGAGCATGTTTTTCTTGGTCTGATGCCTGGGAGAGGGAGAGGAGTGGATATCTCAGGCAGCAAGAGCAGGAGCTTGTCATCTGAACAGGAGCCGGCCTGGGTGGAAAAAGAATCAGTCCTTTGTCTCCTCTCCCTGGGGATGGCTGAGGTGTTCCCAAGGCTAGGCTGGGCTGGGGGGCTGGGGTGACCTCTCTCCTCTTTGCTTATGGCATTGGTTCGCAGTTTCTGACCACTTGGATTTATGCTGCTTCCACACACCCTCCTCTTCCTACGCAAGAAATCACTCATCCTGGGTCAATGTGGAGCTTTAAAAAAGCCAGGGCACACACACAGTCTGGGACATGGTATTTGGTGAAGCTCATGGAAGGGGAAAGGATGGACATGGATGCTGAGAAAAAAATACGTGCCCGAACGAAGGGTACCCTATACCATGTTGAGTGCTGGCCTCACTCTTTTAGGGACACTTAATAGTGCCATTGTGGGATCTTGGGCTTGTACCTCTGTTACCCATGGGAAAGCCTTCATGATGACCTTCAATTAAGGCTAGCCTGAGTTAATATCCCCCTACTGTACTCACACAGACAACAGCCTTGAAGCCAACACAGAATTACCCACACAGCCAACTGATGCGCACTTTCTTATTTTGAGGGGCCTTTATTTTAGCGTTCCCATTGTTGTTACATTGGTTGATTGAAGCACGTTCATGCAGAGAAGATGACATCTGTTCTGTTTATTTTTTTGAGACAGGGACTTCCTATGTAGCCCAGGCTAGCCTAGGACTCACCATGTAGCCCAGGCTGATCTCTAATTCTTGTTCCTTAGCCTCCCGAGGGCTGGGAATCACAGGTGAACACTGTCACACCAGATGGCATGCCATCATTTGATTTGACCTGATAAACTTCTATTTCTTTATTAAGTTATCACTTCAGATGTGTCTGGTCAGTTTCCCCGTTCAGTGTTTAAAGACCCCAGGAGATGAAGGCTACGTTTCAGATGCTGCATCTAAATCACTCCTTGAATGACTTTGGGACAGTGACCCTGGGCAGGAATTCAAACCCTGGCCGAACTGGGCAGTCCTTTCCCATGTTCCAAACAAAGGCTGCCTCATCTGACAGCAGAGCTGCTGCAGACCCTGGACTTGTGGCTTAAGACAAAATCCCAAGACACAAATAGCTGATGGGAAATTATCTTCCTTAGGATTCAAAAGAAAAGCTCATCACTATAAGAAATGAGAGAGTATGGATGTTTGCTTTCTTTATTTAAAAAAAAAAAAATCGACCTGAAAGCCTATTTATCCATTTACATTTTCAGACTCTTGTTACCTAGTTTCGCTTAAAACAAAACAAAATAAAAACATTCACTCATTGGGAACATATATAGCTCAATGGCAAACACTAGCCTAGCATTCACAAGGCCCTGAGTTCCATCCCCAGCACAGCAAAAACAAACATACAATAAAACACTTTTCAGGAGGCGGAAAGGGTCAGATGTTCAAGGGCAGCTTCAGCTACAGAGTGAGTTCAAAGCCAGCCTGGACTACAGAAGAATTTATCTCAAAACAACAACAAACTCATCCATTGCTTCTTGACTAGTCAGTATTGATTTTTGCTGCGCATACTTGAAGGCTTGTCAAAGAGAAGAAGATGCCCAGCGGGGTTCTGCTGAAGCCCAGGTTCACTGTCACTTTCACCAGAGCAGTCATATACCTCACCTCTCATGTCTTTGTTTTTGTGTTTGCACGAGTGTTGGGAACTGGGCAAAGTAATGCTGATCTGGGAATCTGGAATATTCTGCATTGAGACAGAGCAGACACAGCAGCTCTGCTTCCCGGAGTATCACACAGTAGACCCCGACCAGCTAGGCAGTACGACCAGACTGCCCGGCAGACTTGAGCAGGGTATTGCCTCCAATGATAGTGTGTGCTGTCCACACGGCAGTCACCCTTACGGGTGTGAGGAGAGCAGAAGATCCCAGAACTATGTGAAAAGGATACTGGCTGGGCTGTTTACAGTTTCAAGAACAGGATCTAGCCATACAGACGAACCTTCTGTGAGCATCCTTAGCCCTAGACCCATCTTAGCTCAATCCAGAGGCAGGCCTGGAAGTGCTGACCACATGTGACCTGCCAGCCCAAGAATCACAAACCATGTGATGGGAGTGACATGTCCCACATGACATCTCCACTGAGCTGACAGCCAGCGTGTGCAACCTAGTCCAGTCCACTCTGTTCCCCGGGGAGGGGTTGTGTGTGAGACATTCTGACCTCAATTTCAAGACAGGACAAATGACTGGGCCCCCCAGTGGGCCCTGCATAAATAGTATACATCACACACCATGACAGCTGCTTCGCTTAGAAACCCAATTTAGTCATTTGGCTAGGAGAAAGCTTAATCAGGACAGAAAAAAATAGAAAACATCCCTCCCAGAAATGTTTTCTCCCGCCTGTATACCTCATTATTGTGGAGACTGTTTAGTCTACTTCTCAAAAGAAGAAAATATGCTCCAGAAAAATGCACACTGTACTGTAAAGTCCAAAGACAAGAAAACAAACTAACAAAAAAACCCCAAACAAACACTTTCATTCACTAATCTGATTTAATAGCCTTCAAGTTCAAGAGTGGGCTAAGTATCTGACAAAAAGTTGGATTTTAATTCCATCTTTCCAAATGGGTTTAGCTCCCAGATGAAAATGAGTCGTGGGGCCTGGGCATCCTCTTTTCCCCTTCCAACATGGCAGCCTCAGCAAAACAGAAGATTCAGAAGGCAAGACCATTTCCCTAACAGGCTTTCTGGTTGAGGATGGCGGGAGGAAACACCTAGGTCCCTAAACCAGTCAGCTGGGCTGATGAAACAGATGATCTGGAAAGAGAGGTCAACAACTCGGCATAGTAATGATGAGGGTGTTTATAGGGCGCTTCTAATGGCCTGTTCTGTCCTTTTTACTGCTCCATGGGCTGCTCAGGAACCACATACCCACCAGAGCTGTCTTCCCAAATTGCCACCCTACACCATTTTCCTAGGGAACTTGCCCTATGATGTGACAGAAGACTCCGCTAAGGAGTTCTTTAGAGGATGAGATACCAGTGCAGTCCACTTGCTGTGTGAACCCAGCAATCCAGACAGGTCGAATGGTTTTGGCTACGCAGAATTTGAGGCCCTGCATGCTCTGCTCGGTGTGCTGAGTCTCTAGGTAACAGGAGAAATTGATCAAGCACTGGATACAGACAGGGGTGATCATTCTTTTGGTCGAGATAGAAATTTAGATTCTAACAAAACAGACACACACCAGAGGACCCATCCTGCTGCAGACAGCTTTTGAGGACTACTATCCAGAAGAGGTGATGGTAGCTTTGGAGACAAGGGTTGAGATTCAGAGTGGTATCAGGATGGGTTGCAGACAGGTATCAGGACGGCCCATGCTGAGATATGGGGGACAGGATCGCTGTGATGACCAGGGCAGCAGAGACTATGACCGAGGCTATGACTCCAGGATAGGCAGAAGAGCATCAGGTAGTGGGTACTGTAGGGTTGAAGAAGACTACAGAGGAAATGGGGACTGCTATGAAGACAGGTATGACAGATACGGCAGTCAGTCATGGAGTTCCAGGGATGTTTACTCTTGGGACAATTATAGGACAAATATAGGTCTGTCCCCCGACAACCCCAAACTGAATCGAAAAACTTGGAGTATTCCCAAGGAAGATGATTCCTCTGCTAGTTCCTTCCAATCCAGTCAAGCAGCTTCTGTCTTTGGAGAGGCAAAGCCTGTTGACACAGCTGCTAGAGAAAGAGAAGCTGAAGAGGGACCACGGAAGTAGCAGGAGAGGTCGCACCATCAGCTGGATGAACCAAAACTAGACGGCTGACCCTGGAAGAGACACCAAGTGGGCCAAGGGAAGAAACTCAGGTTGAGGACAGGAAGTGAGTCATCACAGACTGGGGCCTCAGTCACATCTGGCAGAATTACACAAAAGAGAGAGAGCGAGAAGTCTCTAGAAAAATGAAACACTCAACAAAGAAGACCGTCACTTTCCAATCTCTAGAGCTGAACTTGATTGGCCTCTCAAGGTCTTGCTAGCCCCTGTGTGGGTCAAGCGACGCTCGAAGCTTCCTGCTCCATTTCAGAGCTCAGACACAGAGCAGCAGTCCCCGGCAAGTGACAGAGGGAAGCAGCTCTGTCGCGCTCAGCCCTCTGAGGAAGGACCAGCAAGGAAAGAAGAAAACAAAGTAGATGGGATGAGTGTCCCAAAAGGCCAGAGTGGGAACCCCAGCTGTGGTCCTGGAGATGGGGGGAGCACAGACCACTGAAGGGGTTGAGGAAAGATTGCAAAAGGATCAAGACTCCAGAGCTGCACCTGAGCCAAAGTGAGGAGGAGAATTCAGCCTTCAAGTTCAGTTCTGCAAGCAAGTATGCTGTTCCCTCCGTGGATGGTGAAGATGGGAAGGAGGAGACAACCGCACTGAGTAGACCTCCATGTCCTGTGCTGTCTCCTAATCTCACGCTCTACCCTGGAGCATTCGAGGGCAAATCAAATGAGTCTTGCAGATCCTCTTTTGCCCCTTCTAAACACTGTCCTGTCTAAACTTTCAAATATGTCCACATTCTTTCAAAACCTCGTCACCCTGGTCATCTCCTGTTCTCAATGACAGTGGTAGCCTCCCCAAAGCAGCCTTTGTAAGTCACACCCCTAACCTCACAGGCATTTTATCTTGGCCGCCAGAAGCTGCGGTCTGAGGCATCACTGTTTTCCTCAAGTGAACCAGCTCTGGGGTGTCTCTGATTCCTGCCCCCGTGACTCTCAGTCTGTTGCTCCTGCAGCTTTGCATCTCCCCCCACTCCCGCTTGGAGGGCAGAGTACTTCAACCAATAGACTTGGGTGGTCAATAGGGGTGTGTAAATGGGCAGAGTTGAGTTGGAGGCGGTCAGCCTTGATGGGGGTGTTTTCAGGTTTCTGTAGGTTTCCTTCATGGAAGCCCGTGCTAGTGCTTGCGTTTAGAATGTGACCGACACTGTGAGGTTTTCTACTTAAGAGGGTTGGTTTCGTAGCTTCCCTCAAGAATAAAGGATAATGCAAAGAACTATCGAATAAGGTCCTGGCTTTTCTCGCAACACAGTAGTAGCTTGACCTGTCTGCATTGATGTGCCCCTCTAGAGAGGGTCAACTTCAAAGATGGCGGATTTCCTTGTTGTAGGAAGTCAGGGTACTACGGACAAATGAGACCTTGGTCGCAATGGGCAAGCTCTAGGTCGGCTGTGCAGGAGTGTTGGTTTAGTGGGCTGTGGGCACAGCAGTGGGCACAGCAGGGACTGCTCCAGTGGGCCCGACTGGCGGGTAGCTAGGAAGTGGGCTTTTAGAGAGATACCCACAGCTGACCGGGTTTTTAAAAAACCGTTGGCTGAGGCCGGGCGGTGGTGGCGCGCTCCTTCAATCCCAGCACTCGGGAGGCAGAGGCAGGTGGATCTCTGTGAGTTCAAGGCCAGCCTGATCTACAGAGTGAGTGCCAGGAAAGGTGCCAAAGCTACACAGAGAAACCCTGTCTTGAAAACAAAACAAACAAAAAACCCCAACAAAACAAAACAAACAAACAAACAAACAAAAAACCCCGTTGGTTGTAGACAACAAAGAGGTCATTTGCCCTCTTCATGTCTCTTTCCCTTCCAGACAGTTGCATGTAAAGGAAAGCTGCTGTGCCCCACTCTCCTACTTGGCTCCTCTGTTAGAATAAAAGCAGGGGCCAACTTATACTTTCCTGAATACATGCAAAATTTGTGCAGAAATATTTTCTAGGAAAATGATTTGTAATCTGTAGACATTACTTGGGGGATGTCTTGAGTTGTAAAATCCTATCCTTAGGGTTGAGGGTTTGGTGTGGGTTTTTTCCCTCTTCAAATAAACCTAGTCTTTAAAGTTGAAAGAAACAAAGAGAAAGAATGAGAGGAAGAAAGGAGAAAAAACAGAAGAAAGATAAAGAAGGAAGGAGAGAGAGAAAGAGTGAGAGGAAGAGAGAGAGAGAGGAAGAGAGAGAGAGAGAGAGAGAGAGAGAGAGAAGTTGGAGAGCCTAGGGCACATCCCGTTGGTTTTCCTCTTCTCTCCCCAGTTCTGCCCCCACCTCTCTGGATAAGAAGGACACCATGGCTGGCCCCGCTGATCTGAAGGCACACTTCCTGCTGTTTCTCCCATGTGGGACAGTCTGTCAGGATTCCAGCTTGCTGGGCACACTAGATTTTTTCACTTGCCTCAGGGAGCAGAGAGGTCACCTCCAAGATTCTTGCTCATTGCACCATCCTGCCTCCCTTCAAACCATGCCAGCATCCCAGTCACTTCCTAAGTGAGAATCAGTTTTCTTACTCAATGCAAATCATCACCAAGGTTTTTCTTCGGTGCCCACCCATCTCTGATGTTCCCAAAGTAAAGGATCAGGAAGCAAAGCGTGGCACTTTTCTTCCTGAACGCAGTACCTTGGATGGCTCAGCCAGCCCAACTGCTGCTTTCTTCCTGAAGCTAGCACACGTCCCTGGTGGTATGGTACCACTTTACCCAGTAACAGGTACCCAGAGGTATTTACTTTAAGCCATCCAAAATTCTGGTTTGGCAGCCAAAATCAAGGGGAGAGAGAGGCCCACATTCTCTGAGAGTCCCCAGTTCTCACATGCAGATTTAGGGCATCCAGTTTCTGTTCCAGTTCAGAGTAGGGGCCTTCATTGGACAAAGCTGGGAACTGACACGTTCCTTCCTTGTTTTAGGGCCCAAGCCACTGTTCAGAAAGAGGCCCTTGGGCCTCAAACTTGCTGGATACAGAAAGGAGACCGTGTTAATATTTTTAAAAGTTACGATCTTGAAAATATTTGGACTTGTTTTCATTAGAAGTGTATGGTGCTGACTGGGGTAACTCACATCTATAATCCTAATAAGCAGGAGGCTGAGGATTGCAGAAAGTTTGAGGCTAGCCTGGACTACAACGTGTGTTCAAGGCTAGATTGGCATACAGTGTAAGACTCTGTCTCAAGAAAAATCAACCAAACAAAATGTCTGCAGGAGCAAGGTCTGCTTTCTGCTACAGTGTACACGGGCTGATCACTACAACTGTCTATCAAGAGTGGGACTTGAGAACTTCCATGTCTTCCGGGTCTGCCTCCTGAGTCTCGTGTCCTTTGTCAACTTCCTGGGAGATCTGGGCTCCTCTTCCTCACCACTCTCTGCCCTGTGCTTACCCGGCCCCCAGCTCACCCTGGTTCTAGAATTTCAGAGTGACAGTTTTTTTTTTTTTTTTCCCTTCAGTGCACAGACACCATCACACACTCACTTCCAAACTGGAGAAAGTCTAAAATGTGCTTTGAGCATCCAGGGAGCAGGGATTGATTCTGATTCTGACAGGCTGCCAGAGGCCCAGCTCAGAAGTGGTCTGCAGAGCCTGCCACCCTCACCCACAGGATCCCATCAGAAAAAAGACAGCTATGTATTAGAGGCCAGGTATGGGACAGCCATGTCTCCTCAGTTATGGAGCTAACGGGCAGCAGTGGGGGCGGGGCAGGGGGGGATGGGGCTGGGCGAGAAGAAAGATTCTGACACCCATATCTGAACATACAGAGGAACAAAGACACACAGAACCTGGATGGGTGGCTACCAGCTGTGAGGTACCGCCCCCAGGGGCTAGCTGGACAGATTTGAGGACAAGAGCCCAGGGTAGCAACGGTAAGACCGGAGGCGTGCACCTGAAATGGGCGCGGAAGGCATGGAACGCTGGCTGATTTGCCTTGCTGGGGCTGGGGCTTGAAAGAGCCAAGGAAATGTCTTAAAGTCTGTCCCTCAACCGTAAGTTTTTCTGATTTCACCGCAATCAAGAAGTTTACGCCAGCTTCACACAAACGAAACAGGAATCCAAGTGAGTGAGCAATCTGCAGAAAGCGAGGTTCGTATGATCTGTGCATGCACCGAACAGGAAGTGTACCCTGCTCCAATTACACAGGACTGGTCTCTGGTAACATAATGCCCCTTTCCTCTCTCCCAGAACCACTCGTATTGATGTTTTAGCACTGGTGAAACATGGTTTTTAATTTCACACCTCACGGAGCCCAGCTGAATGCTTCATAACAACGGAAACGTTGGGCCAAGCGCGGCAGACAAGCTGGGAGAATAGCTTCCCCTGATGCCTGTGTCCTGGGACTGCAAGGGGACAGACAGCTGCTAACAAACTGGTCGGCTAAGGCCACAGAAATGTGTTTTCTGGTGTTGGGCTGCGGGCGCCAGTCTCTCCTCACAAAACTGTGTTAACACTGCGTGCAACAAACTGAATCTCTTTCCCTGGAGCAAAATCGCCTCTTATTTCTTCCTTGACTTCTTTTTGGTGGTGTCGTAAGCACGAACTATTTCCTCCTGGGTAACAGCTCCGTGTTCTTCTTGAGAAAAGGCATACCCGTCTACGGAGAAACATACAGAAGTGGATTAGGGAACATGCTGGACCAGTACTTTCCAACCTTCCTAATGCTGCGACCCTTTAATTCAGTTCTTTGTGTCGTGTTGACCCCCCCGGCCATGAAGTTATTTCATTGCTACTTCATAACTGCAATGTTGCTGTGATGAATTGTAATGTAAATATCTGATACGCAGGATATTTGATATACGGCCCCTGGGAAAGGGTTGTTCGACCCCAAAGGGGTTGTGTCCCGCAAGTTGAGAAATCCTGTTTTAGACTAAGGATGAACTACGTTCCAGGAAGACCCCATTGAACTGTGTGGTCACGGGACTTTCTTAGCCGTGGATACAGAGACCCGAGATGAAGATACCTGTGAAAGCAAAGGGGACCATGATCAAGAGGGAGTGTGCTGGCAGGGGCTGATCAAACTGGGGTGGCAATGGCTCAGAGCGGAAGGAGTTTGTTTTCTGCAGCTGTGAAAAATACCATGGACTGGGTGAGGTATAACCCGGAAGTCTGTTTGGTTTACAGTTCTGTAGGCTGGGAGTCCATCGTCAAGAGGCAGTACCTGGAGGGGGGGAGGGACCTTCCTAACTGCAACATAGCATGGGTGGGGGGGTGACACCCCACTCCTGGACGACAATGTTAGTCCATTGGCTGGACTAGAGCCCGGGTGGCACTATCACCCCTACAGCTCCCCCTTAACACCATCACCATAACAATTACATGCCCCCCATGCATTTTGGGGGACATTCAAACCACAGCAAGCAGGTTTTCTAATTTGGGGGGCTCAGTGTGGAACATGTAAAAATGGGCTAGTGGGCCTATCAAGAGGCACTGTCCCCCCATCTGCCTGATGCTGTTTATGAGGCACCTAAACACACCAGGAAAGACACCCCTAATAGTGAGGCCGACAAAGCACGGAGGATGCTTGGAGAGTTCCAGTTCATACACTGGGCTGCTTCTGGCTGGTAAGCAATTGAAGTGGGTTTGTTTCTGAGTGACTGAGGAGAAAGAACACCGGAAGGGCAGATTCAATGAATGGTTTCATGCCCACAGAAGGACGGGGCCTCACAGGGTAACAGCAAAGCAAGTATCACAACCGGTCTGCACACCGCGTGAAAACAGCTCAAGGACGCCGCCCACTGACAACGCGTGCTACTACAAGGACGCCGACCACCGCCCAACACATCATACTACGTTCCCACTTCACAGTTGAGCAAATTAAGGCCCAGGGACTCCTTTTACTTGCCCAAGGTCACAGAGCTGGGAAGCAAAGCTGGGCAGTGTGTGACCTACTCACTTCTGACACTTCCTGCTGTGGCCGAGGGACAGAAAAGTCCCCTGGCTCAGTTGGATGTCCTGGCCAGAAGACAGCAAGCACAGTCAAATCCTGATGGTCCTAAGGCACCTCTGTCTTCCTGCTTACGCTTTATCGATGGAGCTTTCTGATCACTGACACACTATTTTTAAACTTTTTTTTTCCCTTTTTTGCAGTATGGGGGGATGGAACCCAAGGCCTCCTGCATTCTAGGTAAGTGCTCCCCGAGTCATACCCCTGCCCTCCTGCCATATTCTCTAAAAGGAGAAAAAGAAATCAGACAAGGTGAGCAGCTGTCAGCTGGTGGATCGGGCTGTTCATTTCCTCAGCTGTTTGATGGAGAGTGAAGTCTGCAGGGTGTAAAGACACAGTCACCAGCAGGACAGGCTGACGGAAGGCTGTAGGGGAAAACCCCATGGCTATTGTTCGTACCCAGAAGCCCTGTCCTCAGGTTGGCTTCCTGCCCTTCAGGAGAAGGAGCCTGCCAGCCACTCTCCAGAAAGCCCCAAGGATTCCTATGCATAGTGGGCAGAGACACTGGGGGTCCCCTGAGGACACAGGGTCTGAGCAGTAGGGAGGATATTTCAGACTTGGCAGTCACAGGAGGGAGGAGGGAGTCAGGGAGCCTGAGAGAGCAGGGGAGGTGGGAAGATCAGCCAGTGTGAGCGCAGACCGCAGAGATGCGCACTCCTGCCTGCTGCCCATTTCCAACAACAATGAATCCCCTCAAACAGGAAGTCCCACCATGCGGGAGTCATAGGGAAGCAGATGCCAGTGCAGTGTGAGTCCCATAGCCTGGCAAAAGCCAGATGGAGGCAGCCAAGAGAGAGGCTTCGGCAGGTGCTTACTGTGCAAGCTGGGAAACTGACTTTGATCCCCGGAATGCACATAAAGGTGGAAGGAGAGACAGACTTGACAAAGTCGTCCTCCAACCTCCACATATACCTGGGACCCCCCAGAAGTGAACAGAGGCAGAAGCCAGCCTGGTGGAAATTTCCACTGAAGCCATGCCCTGCCCTCAGGGCCTGGGGACAGGGGCTTCCTCATGGGCTGTCCACACAGGTGGCCTTGCTCCACACATCCTGCTTCTGTGAGGTAAGGAACAAAGGCTGTGTCTCATCCCTGTTCCCAAAGATCTTCTAGAAATGGGCCATGGCTTGCTGGAGCTCTCTGGGAAGTGGGGGGGCTGCTCCCCTCTGCCTCCTCTCTGTCCAGGTCCCTGCCCTGACCACACACAAGATGTGCTGTGTGAGGCTATTTACAGCAGTCCAAGAGGACAGCCTTTTCCTTGGAAGGGTTCAAAGCAAAATCTAGTTCAAAACACACACATACACACACACACACACACACACACACACACACACACACACACACACACACACACACACACAAGACCCCAGTGTGTCCTTTGGTACCAGGATTGCTTTACCACAGTTAAACTTGACAATGTTCATTCTCTAGTATTCTAACAAGGAATGTTTTGTGTATCTTTGTCCCAACAGCTGCCCCTGGATGGGATGTACTGCTGGAATGATGCCTCTGGCTTCCCCTGTGGCTGTGGCTGCTGCAACCCACCAGGGGAGACCCTTCAATCTGAAGGAAGCCATTGTGGCCAAGGGCAGGCTTCCCAGAGAGATTCTAGAAAAGAGGCTAGAGGGGAGAAGACCACTGTGCTTCCTCTAAGAAGATGTTATTCTTAGTTGGCTGGGCATCTGTCTTGGATGGTGACCAGATGGCTGGAGATCCAGGGGCACAAAAGGGAACTTCTTGTCCTTGCTTGGCCATTACTAGACTTTGTAACCTTGGACTCTTGAAGCTGTCTGGGTTTGGGTTTGCTTCTCTTGAAGATGAAATGGCCTGGGACAAGACATGCCCTAACTCTAATAGCTCCAGCCCTTCTTGAGGGCTCCAGGATGCATCATCCTTGAAAACTGCTAAAACGTTTTAGGCCTGATGTTTGTGTGTGTGTGTGTGTGTGTGTGTGTGTGTGTGTGTGTGTACTGGCTGGTTTTGTGTGTCAACTTGACACAAGCTAGAGTCATCAGAGGAAGGAGTCTCAGTTGAGGAAATAGTTCGATGAGATCCAGCTATAAGGCATTTTCTCATTTAGTGATCAATGGAAGGGCCCAGCCCATGGTGGGTGTTGCCATCCCTGGGCTGGTGGTCCTGGGTTCCATAAGAAAGCAGGCTAAGCAAGTCCTGTGAAGCAGGCCAGTAAGCAGCTCCCTCCATGGCCTCTGCATCAGCTCCTGCCTCCAGGATCCTGTCCTGTTTGAGTTCCTGTCCTGATTTCCTCTGGTGATAACAGCAATGTTGAAGTGTAAGTCAAATAAACCCTTTCCTCCTCAACTTACATTTTGGTCATGGTGTTTTGTTGCAGCAACAGAAACCCTAACTAAGACGGGAGCTTATGGATGAAGGTTATGAATGAATGAATGAATGAATGAATGAATGTTAAAACATAAATATTATTATGGTTATCAAAACATAGGTAAACGAATAATTAAGACTAGTTAGGGGTATCCTTTTGGACACCCAACTCTGGAAACCCTGCCGCCTCATGGCTATAAGGTGTCCTGTGGGCTGGCAAGGGGCTGCCTCAGTTCATTCTAGGTGAGGGTTTCTAGGCTTCTCTTCAGAGAGACAGGTAACGTCCTCATCCTGACCTGTTCTCAGGTGAGCAGAGTGTGACCAAATGCCCTTCTTGAGGCAGAGGATGGTAAGTTCAAGGCCAGGTGGGGCAACCGATTGAGAAGCTGTCTCAAGATGGGGAGCAAAAAAAGCGCTGGGTCTCTTGATCGGCGGCAGAGAACTTGCCTAGTGTACCGTTCTGGTCCCTTCTTGAGTACAAAACAGAAGGAAGCCGGGAGGATGTGCTGATAGATTTATTGGAAGGCGTCAGGGTTTCCCTGGCAGAAAACTTCTCCCTTTAGAAACCAGGTCTGATGGGAGTTAGGTTGGCACAGGTCCAGGGAAAAGACAGGCCCCCAGGTCACTCACTGACTCCACCGGCCAGCTCCGAAGCCTGACCAGGAAGCAGGATATCTTTCAAGGTTAATCTGGGGGACATGTAACTGGTATTTGCATCCCTATGGGGAGTCAGGGAGAAGCTCCAGCTCTCTGCATTTCCCACTTGAGTTCATCTTCAGGAAGTCAAGTGGGAGCTGGGGACTGGAGGAAGCATTCCCTGACCTCACTTGGGAACCTCCCTGGCCCCTGCCCCTAGATCCTGCCAGAATCTATAGAGGACTCACGGGAGGGGCAGAGATGGAGTGGTGTGTGGTTTGTGCTTTAGTTGTTTTGTCTTGTTGGGGTGGAACATTTGGTGAAGTTGATAAAGTAAAGTCATTCCACGCCCCCCAACCTTCCCCTCCACCCCCTACCCCACCCCCACCAAATCTTTAGAATAAAATCCTTACATTCTATTCCTTTGATCCTAAGATCTGATAGTAGCTTAATAAAAGTAGAGTTTCAGAGATGATGCAAACCGTGGTGCTGGTGAGGAAATTTAGATTGTGTAGGAAATACTGATCTCAGTTATTATTATTGTACACCAACATTATAAATAGTGTCAAGAGCTGTGTTAGTCTTTTTTTTTTGTTACTATAATGAAACATTCAAAGCTGAGAACCTTATGAAGTAAGAAGATTTATTTCATCTCACAGATGTGGAAGTTAAAGGTGGAGGGATCCTATCTAGTGGTGGGGCCTGCTGGCAGGGTTCCAAGGTAGCACAGGACAGCACATGGCAAGAAACAAGGATGTGCATGTGACTTCTGGTCTCTGTCTCTCTGTCCCCTCCCTTGACACAGTCACAAGGATTCAGTTATGAGGGCTCTGCCCTGAAGATTGAACCTCATTCTAATCATTGCTAAAGATCCTGACTTAATTCAGTTCTGTCCCGTATACAAACCATGGTGACAGAACACTGAAGATCAGAGCCTCTCGGGGTTCCAGGGAGGCTGGGGTCTGTGACAGCAGGACAGTTGGAGGGGGACATTCCACAGGCCTTCTTAGAGCCAGAGCTCTGGGCGCTTGAAAGTCTCATCAGGAATGGCAGGAACAATCTACGTTGTTTAATAGGCTCTAGTACTACTCATTAAGGATTGAAAGTTTTTTGAGATTTTATTGATTTTTATTTTATGTGTATAGGTGTGTGTCTAAATATATATCTGTGCACCCTGTGTGCCTGCAGAGACCAGAAGAAGACATCAGAATCCCTGGGACTGGAGTCACAGATGGTCCTGAGCCACTGTGTGAGTGCTAAGTATTGAACCTGGGTCTTCTGGAACAGTAGCTAGTGTTCTTATCTGCTGAACCATCTCTCTAGCCCTCCGTTAAAGGTTTTTTATAAATGTGGTATGGTTTTAGAAGCTGTCTTATTTCTTGCATTTGTTCAGTAGACTTTCTTTTTTGACTGTTGAGTGTTGACTTAAGAAAAATATAAGGTTGTTGTTAAGATAGTTATAACTTTCCCCTAGATATATGTGAACATATGTAATTGTTTTTGATATGGAAGAATGAGCCCCGGCCTTGTGCAGGCTGAGTAAGAGGTCTGTCACCAAGCCCTGTCTCCAGGCCTCTTTTCACTTTTTAAGACAGGATCTCACGGAGTTGCCCAGACTGGCCTTGAACTCACTTTGTAGTTTAAGCAGCTTTGGACTTGTGATCCTCCTGCCTCAGTCTCCTGGCCCAGCTGTACATATTCTTTCTGTGATTACTCCAAGACATTTGTTGGGGAAGCTGTGTGGTCCACAGTGTGAATGCATCCATCCTGAAGGCTTTATATACTTCATGTGATAATGTGTAAGGATGTCTTATAATTGTATTTTCTTTTTCCAGAGGAAAAAGTAGAAGCTTTGAGAAATACATACACTACCCAGAGCTACTCAGCTAACTGGAAAAAACAAAAACAAAAACAAACCCACAACATCTAGCACTCACCAAACCTTTAGGCCCAACATTCTTCTTATTTTATGCCCCAACAACCCTAGCTGGGTTCTCGCATTTTACAAATGCAGACACAGAGAGGTAAAGTGGCAGGACAGGAACCTGGTGGTGTGAGTCCAGAGGGGGACCCAGCGGTGTGAATCCAGAGGGGGACCCATGAAGTATGGGTCCAGAGAGAAATCCCTGCAGTGTGAGTCCAGAGGGAAATCCCTGCAGTGTGAGTCCAGAGGGAAATCCCTGCAGTGTGAGTCCAGAGGGAAATCCCTGCAGTGTGAATCCAGAGGGGGGGCCCCTGCACTGTGAGTCCTGAGGGGGACCCCTGCAGATTGCTGTCCTTGGAGGATCCCATGAATCTTCATACCCTGACTTCCACCTCATACTTCCAATATGGCTATGACCTTGATAGAACCCATGGCAATGACCTACAAGCTCAACACAGTACTACAACCTGTTGTATATGGGTGCTTTCTGATTGAGCTTCTGATTTTCTGCCCCCAGGGCTGTGCTACACCCCTCCTAGGGGCTGTGGGAAACAGATAGAAGGAGTGGAGTGCTGACAGGTCACATAACGCCACCCTTCTCTCCCTATTGTGGAATATTATTTTAAGATGTGTTATATTTGTTTGTGCTGTAGAACATTTATTTAATGATATAAAGATGTGTTGCATTCTTTTATGTTGCATTTGTTTAAGTCTGAGAAGCTATGCTACTGTGCCTGTCTAAAACACCTGATGGTATGATAAAGAGCTGGCTGGCCAATAGCAAGGCAGGAGAAAGGATAGGCAGAGAGAATAAATAGAAGGAGAAATCTGGGAGGAGAAGAAAGAGTAAGAGAAGAAGGAGAGGAGGACACCAGGGGCCAGCCACCCAGCCACACAGCCAGCTACAGAGTAAGAGTGGAAGTAAGATATACAGAGGTAAGAAAAGGAAAAGCCCAGAGGCAAAAGTAAAATGGGTTAATTTAAGAAAAGCTGGCAAGAAATTAGCTAAGCTAAGGCTGGACATTTATAATTAAGAATAAGCCTCTGTGTGTGCTTTATCTGGGAGCTGGGTGGCGGGGCCCCCAAAAGAGCCAAAAGAGTCAAGAGCAAAAACAACCAACAATATTTTGGCGCCCAACATGGGACTAGTGTAAAAGAAAATCCAACAACATCTCTCCACTGAAAAAGTCTCCGTTGGCAGGCAGAGCTCAGCTGAACTGCCCAGTGGACTATCAATATATGTTCTTTGTGAGCACCCACCTTCAGCTCTCAGAAAGTGTTCTTACCTATCAGGTGTAACAGCCATCCCTGGCCTGGCTGCCCCATTCACCCTGTTGCCTGCCACCCATTGCTACCCACTGTCACTTACGACTGACACACTGCTGGATGGAGCCTGCTCGGAAGAGGGTCGGGGGTGTCTTCTTGCTGAGTCTCTTGATCAGACGGTCACGCTCGTTCATCCTGCAAGAGAGCAAAGAGGGTCAGGGGCCAGGTTGTCCCAATACCTCTCTGAGGGATCCAGACAACTTCAGACTGAGAGAAGGGGCAAGAGGGGCCTCCTGTGTTCAGAGGGTTTGTTCCTCTCCCAGAGGCATCAGACATAGTGCATATGCTCTTTGGCATGAGGCAGATATCTCTCTATTTCCCTCCTTCACCTCTCTCTCCATGTTGAAACCAATCCCAGAATGGGATTGTACTTGGAGACTGGACCTGCCCTAGGGTAAAATGACAGAGAGATGGGCGGTGATCCTCATAAAGAAAGGAGATCAGGACTCAGACACACACAGAGGGAAGTCCATGTGAGTACTCAGGTAGAAGGCAAGAGAAACTGCAGACGTCAGCCCTGTGGACATTTCCGGTTTAGATTCGGAGCTCAGTACCAAGGGGTGGCAGTCTTCCCTGAGGCACGTGGTCGAAGCAGCTGGAATTCTGAGCAAACAAGATCACCACCCCCCACTACTGTTTGCAGAAAGCTCAAGCACCCTAAGTGCCTAGAGCCTGAGGACACCTGTGCTGATCTCGGCCCCTGGTGTGTACCCAAAGTACAAATAACAAAGAATAGAATTGACTTCATTAAAATTAAAAACTTTAAACTGGGCACAGTGGTGCACACCTGTAGCTCCAGCTATTTGGAGGCTGAGACCCAGGTATTACTTCTGCCCAGGAGTTTGATGCCAGCCTGGGAAAAATTGATAACAAGATCCAATCTAAACAAAACAACAACAACAACAAACAAACAAACAAACAAAAACAAGTGGGGCTGGAGAGATGGCTCCGTTGTCAAGAGCACTTGCTCTTGCAGAGGACTTAGGGGTCAATTCATTCCTTCAAATCCTTTGTTCATGTTTCAGTTGGATTGTTTTATCTTTTTGCTGTTAAGTCACAGTGGTTTCTCATGTATTTTAGAATCAAGCCACATGATGGTTCATAATCATCCATAACTGCGGTTCCAGGGGATCTGATGCCCTCTTCTGGCCTTGGACACCATGCATACACGTGGCACACACACATACAAGCAGGTCAAACACCCACACACAAAATTTTGAAAATCTAAAAAAAGTTAAAATATATCAAAGGACATTACAAAGGAGCAAGAAAGAGGCAACTACAAAATGGGAGAAACATTTTGTAATTTTGTAAAAAACATTTGCTAATTAATCATATCTGATAAGGACCTGGTATTTAAAATACCTAAGTAACTCCTGTGAATGAACAGCAAAAAGATAAACAATCCAACTGAAACATGAACAAAGGACTTGAACAGATTTCTGTACAGTGAAGATGCACACTGGTCAACAGGCACATGCCAAGATTGCCAACATATTCACGACTGGGAAAACACCAATCAAAACCATGGTGAGTCACCATTTCACACCCACGAGGACGGCTATAAAAACAGCAAACAAAACAAACTTTCAGAAAAAGATGAGGGTTGGAGCAGGTGTGGAGAAACTGGAACCCTATTATATCAGTGGTGGGACTACAAGGTGGTGAAGTCACTGCCCCTCAGGAAGCTAGTCTGAATCAATGAGATCACTGAGACACTCTACTCTTAGATACTCAAAGTAAAACTGAGAATGGAACCAGAAGATACCTGCATACCCACACCCACACCAGCATTATTCACAGACATCCAAGGGTGGAAACCCAATATCCATCAACTGATGAATGAATAAAAAAAAATGTGGTATATCCATTAAAAGGAGTATTATGCTGTGTAGTTTAGAGGAATTCAGCCACGATCCATGATACACACAGATACACTTTGAAAACATACCTGGTCCCAAAGGCTGGGCATGAGTATACAAAATTCCCAGAGTAGGCAAATATGTGAAGACAGAAAACCACAAGCTGAAGCTGCCAGTGGCTGCAAGGCAGGGGGTGGGAGCAAGGGGTGGAGGCAGGGGGGGGGGGGGGAGAGTGAGTGTTTAAAGCAGGATGGGTTCCTAGGGAGACGGACATGTTCTGAGACACTGGCAGGGATTCATAATATTGGGAACACAAATGCCACAGAACTGTTGGCTTTAAAAATGACAAATTCTAAGTTATATAAATTTCACCACAACTGAACACAGGAAAATTCAACTTTAAAGAAGGAGAAGTTGGTCTCGACTCAAGACCAGCTCCCTCCCATCCTCCAAACTGCTGGTGTCTTTGCAGCTCATTTCTCTGGTGCTGCAGGGGTGTTGAAGTAAAGTGTTGTCTTTGATATTACACCCCCGCCCCTTGTCCTGTGCTGGCACAAGCAGGTATGCTAGCTGGGATCTACTGGTATAGAAGGTGTTAGGTAAACACGAACTCAGCCTAGCTATGAGCTACGTGCAGTCTTGGTGCCTCCCCAATAATGACATTGAAACTGAAGCTCCGACAAGTTCTCACAAACAGGAGGCCCTTTTTAGAATCTGACATACCTTGGAGGAGGTGTTACGTTCCTGTCCTGGAAAATAAGCAGTCATAGGAGGAAGGAGGGGCATGCTGGGAAGGGTTGCGCTGGAGAAAAATAAACTCCCATGTCTGAATTTCTCCTAGGAAGCACTCCCCCCTCTCCGACACCAAAACTCACATAAACCTGGAAATCAAGCTGCCCAAGAGCAGGAGTGCAAGGCAGCCAGTGACTACTGGATGGTTTTTAAACCCACCCCCCACCCCATCCCCCGCCCCGGGGAATCCTACATCACAGAAGATGCCATAACAAAACTTCTAAAAGATGAGTTATCTAAAAGAAGGCCATCTTTAAGTTATCAGCTGCTGGGCATTCTTGAAAGCATGTGCAGGGCTTGCCTAATGGGCTCAAGACCCTGGGTTCATCCCCAGCACCCTAAAAAACAAAAACCAGCAATAAGAACAAAATGGAGATAATTATGATAGGTCCCTTCCCTTAAGGCACAACCAGACTCCCACCAACTCAGAAGGCACTGGAAAGTATCACTTGCCTCAAGTGATGGCTTGTTCTTGGTTGTCAACTTGACTACATCTAGAATCAACTAAAACCCAAAAATGGAGGGTCACACCTGCGAGGGACTTTTGCTTAATTTGAAGTGTGAAGATCTACTTCCAATCCAGAGCTTTGAGGTGGAAAGACAAGCCTTTAATCAATATCTTTAATCTAGATGTAATCTGGGCCACACCTTCTGCTGGCAGTCTATATAAGGGCATGGAAGAAGGAAGCTTTTTCTTTGCCTGCTTGCTCTCATCTTGCTAGCAAGTCCACTTCTTCACTGGCACTAGAGCCTGCTTCTTCAGGATTCCAGTGTCGACTGAAGACCAGTAGAGATAGCCTGCCTCCTGGACTGAACAACTACTGGGTTCTTGGACCTTCCATTCATAGGCAGCCATTGTTGGATTAGCTGGACCACAGCCTGTAAGCTACTCTAGTAAATCCCATATATATGTTCATTCTCTAAGTTCTGTTACTTTAGAGAACCCTGACTAATACACCTCAGAAGCAACTGGAAGACCACATCTAAAACTGAATTTGTTGTGTTTCCACAAAATCCATTCTAGCAAAGTGCTGATGATCTATCTACTATTTAGACTGCAGCTTTAGTGCTTAATGCTCTGAAAAATTTCTAGAATCTTCTCTGAGTTGTTTCTTCCATTTCACCCTGTTGAGCTTAATACAATCTCTGCCAGCACACTCATGATCTTATACTGTGTTATTTATATGCACAGTGAGGTTCCTCAGAGATTGTCTTCCTGCACTTCACCCAGGGCCTACCCCAGGCTGAGCACAGAGCACTTGGTTAACAATATCAAGTGTCATGGACTATGCTGGGACTGCCTGTCCTCTTCTCATATGTACCTATGATGTGACCATGCCAAACTTTGCCTCTTCATGTTTCTTCTAGGACAGCTCATGCTGTAGTAAGTTTGCCAAAGTGGCCCAAATAAATTCCTCTGTATTATTCTTTGAAAACCATAGAATATCTATTGTCTCCCAGGGAGGAGAGCTCATTCCAAATGTAGAGAATGTGAGCAGAAGTTTGAACTTGTGGAGAAGAAACACTGTATTTTCTTTAAATTTCAGGTTGCAAAGAGTTGTAGGAAGCCAGTGTAACTGAGGGTGCAACAAGGTTAATGGACAATTTAAATTCCACTCCAAAAATAAGAAGGCAATATTTCCTGTCCTCCATGGACTCAACTCCCATCTTGATATCAGAATTGGGGGCTGGGAGGCAGAGGCTGGCAATGGCATGCTGCTTACTCTCCTTGATCCCAGACAAGCTGTTGGCTGGTGGGGATTAAGGGATGCTTCTGAGGGTTGGAGGAAATCTTATTTTCTTACAGTGTAGTTTGGGCAAATTCCGGCCAAAAGAAGAATTTGTCTAAGAAGTACAATACCAAATGGGTAAGCAAAGTAAAGGGGAACAAAACAGATTCTCAGTCTCAGAATAGGTGGCATCTGGCAGTCTACATGGCCAACAGTCAGGGCAGAGGTAAAGGCGGAGAGGCTGTGGGCAGAATGCTGAGGGCAGCATCAACAGAAGAGGGTGGGGTGCTCCTGGCATCTGACAGTGTTTTGTGGTGCCTAACAGCTGGGATGGTAATGGGAACAAACCGTAAGCTCAGGAGGGAAGTTCAAGAGGAAGCGCACACTGACAGCACTGTCACCCTGTCCTTGGCTGCCACCCTGTCCCCGGACCTGCAACAGCAGCCGAGAGAGAACTGGCCAGATGGCTGTTCCTCAAGACTGGAATCATGTTATCAGAACGTGTTAGCTCAGAAAAATGACAAAGACCATGTCAAGTCCCTGCTTGGAGAGACCTGGAGAGCAGGAGGTGGAGGGGATGCATTCCACTACTCTTGCTGAGTCAGGTTGATGACTCTGGACGCCAGGTGTTAGAATGAGCCTGGAAAAGTGGTAGGAAGAAGAAGATCTATAAGGAACCACAGCCTGAAAACCCAGGTTCCCACTGACCTCTGACCTCAGACTGGGAGTGGAAGAGCTCACGATCCCAAAT